CGAACCTTAGACACTATATAACCTTTGATTTATTATTGGTTTTCATAATTTAGCATATCTCGACGTCGTGTCCTAGCTCTGGTTCTCGTTCTCGCGAAGCTCACCGGGAGGACGAGCCTGTTGACGTAGGCGAGGGAGCTTCCATTAGCCTAGGGGAGTTCCCTAAGTGGGATGAGCGCAGTCTCTACTTCGCGCCCGAGTTTCACATCTTAGAGCGGGTGCGGCTCGGGATGACTGGCAACCGTGTTCACTGCCACATCTCAAGCAACAGGTTTATTGGTCAGCTCTACGATTTGCACTTTCGCGACAACAACGAGTTACGCGAGCTATGGGAGTCTTATGGTCTAACTCCACTACTTCAGGCTACGTGGCCATATACTCTTTCTCATCGAACCGTTCTCTAGTTTGAGCTCTGGTGGAGTTCTTTTGGGACACCACCAACACTTTTCACGTTCCTTGGGGTGATATGACTATCACCCCTCTGGACTTCTCTCTCACCACCGGTTTAGAGTTCCGGACGACTGCGGTTCCATTTGGCAGCAACATTACTGTTTTCTCTCCGGAGGTAGAGGAGTTGATCATCCCTATAGCTATCCGAGCTCGTGGCGAGGCTCGGCTGACGTAGATCAGCGCTCGGCACATTTGCCGAACCATGTTGATGGAGGCCTTTCAGGAGGGTGCGCCTACCCTGGAGTAGCGGGTGCGCATCTTTGCCTTAATTCTTTTGTCGGGGACCTTCTCCCCTGACAAGGGTAGCCGCGTGCTACTCTACTCTATGCCTGCTCTTCTTGACCTTCGTATGGTCGGATCATATGATTGGGCAAGCTTGGCCTATGCTGACTTCCTTCATGGATTGCGACTCGCTTGTTGCCACCGCAGTTTTGACGGGGAAGTCACACTTTCCAGTTTCTAGGGGCTCGTAGCGGTATACTTTATTTCTTTTAACCAAAGCTTGTTTTAGGTTTTGTGCTAACATTTGCTGACACTTCATCCTGTTTTATAGGTATGGTTCTATGAGTATTTCCCTTCTTTTACACCAGCGAGGCCTTTGCCTCGAGGGCTCCCCATTGCTGCCAGTTGGGAAGGCCGTTATAATTAGAGTTTTCAAAAGCTGACCCGACCCAAAATACTAACCCGAACCCGATTATTAACTAACCCATTTTAACCCAAAAAATGGTGACCCAAACCCGACCTGACCCGACCTAAAACCAATCCTAGACCCGAGTTGACCCGAGTATGTGAGACCCAAACCCAAACATGAACTAACCTGGAGATGACCCGACCCGACTGTAGCCGTAAATTATTGACCTGAACCGAACCCGACTTGAACCGAAATTGACCCAAACCCGTTTTAACCCATCAAAACCCAAATTTAACCCGACTTGTTACTAAACCGACTTGAATTCAACCCGACGCGAATTTAACCCGACCCATTACTAACTCGAAATTCAACCCGACCTGTTACAAACCTGACCCGGAATCTACCCGACTTGTTATTGACCTGACCCAAATTCAACCCGACTTGCTATTGACCTGACTCAAATTTTACCCGACATATTACTAACCCGACCCAAAAATTTAACCCGATTTGTTACTAACCCAACCCAAAATCAACACGACTTGTTATTGACTTAATCTAAATTGAACACAAATTGTTCATGATCCGATTTCAAATCACCTTAAATTCAATTTAGACCAACTTATTATTGTTGATTAAAGCATTTTGTCTAGGGAGACCAAGTCGGTTCAGGCCAGCAAAAGAAAGGAGCATTATCCCCAAATTTAAGAGTTATATATAATATATTTGTTTTATGGTCAAAGGAGAAAATTATCTTCCTAAATTATAAGCTATAGTTCCCTAGTATGTTGCCATATATATTATAGTCAAAGGAAATAATTATCTATTTATACTTAGTTGAACCCGTATATGACCCGTCCCGATTAACCCACATATTATTGACTTGAACATAACCCAACTTGAACTCGAGAATGACCCGACTTGCAAATAACCCAACCAGATCATAACCCGCAAATTATTGACTTAAACCGAACCCGAGAATGACCTAACTTGGAAATGATCCAACCTGATTATAACTCGCAAATTATTGACTTGATTCGAACCCGACTTAAACCCGAGAATTACCCAACCTAATTCTAACCTGCAAATTATTGACTTGAATTAAACCCGACTCGAAACCCGAGAATCATCCTAACCCATTTTAACTCGTGAAAACCCGAATTAAACCCGACCTATTCTTCACCCGACCCGAATTTAACCCGACTCGTTATTAACCTGACCTAAACCCGACCCAAACCCGATAAGATGTATGAGCCGACGTGACCCGACTCAAGCACGACCCAACCCAAACCCGACCTGCATAGGTTACGACGTTAACCCGAATTAACCCGACTCGAGTTGACCCAACCCACTCTTACCCGAACCAAACCCGACTTGTTTACCCGAATTGACAGCTCTAGTTATAACAACTGGAGTACTACTGCTCGTGTTCGAGAGTTATTCTCTCAGTACTTTTTCTTAACCTTTTGTGTTGAGCTTATGGATGTTCGTTTTGCAGGAGCCTGAGGTTCATTTTCAGTCATGGGATGATTTCATCTTTCCTGCATTGGCCGTGCAGTACACCGCCCAGCGTCGGTATTTTCAAGGGACATACGACGATGTGGTATACCTGGGTAAGAGAGTTGCAATTCAGCACTCTTTAGAGTCCCTTGTTGTTCCTTCTCGCCCTCCTCATCTTATGTTCGATCAGACGAGGCTGAGGGTTCGGGCGGTTAGGATGCCAGCGGGTTCGGATTGGCGTTGCCATATCCATCTGAGCCGCAGTTATGGAGATAAGCTTTTTCCGCGTTTGGCCCTACCGCCTCTCTTGCCAGAGCCGATAGAGGTATCATTTGTATTTTACATTTGTTTATTCTATAGCCCTCGAGCCAATCCTAATTATTCAGGTTTAACATGACAGGCTTCGACTAGAGAGTTCGTGCCTCCGCTAGTATCCATCGTTTACCAGGGCACTTTTGATCCTGTTGAGGAGATGATTCCTCTAGCTCCTGAGCCATGTCGTTTTATAGAGGAGTTGATACCTCGGCACCAGAATTCAATAAGTCACTTTATTTGTCATCTCATTTGTGTATATGCCTTGATTATTTATGACTTTGTGACCGTGACAATTTTCTTGTGAGGTGCTGACGAGGATGGTTAGAGACATGGACGCCTTCCGTTACAAGCTCGTGAGGTGCTGACGAGGATGGCTAGAGGCATGGACACCTTCCGTTACCAGCTCGTGAGGTTGATCCACTAAGCTAAGAGTCGTCGCGGTGATGATGGCATGGAGGTATTTCTCTTGACACCTCTTATGTTTATATTTGTCTTTCTGTACTTGACTTAGTTTGCTTTTATTTGTTTCAGCCTATTCCTCCGACGCGTACTCGTACGAGACCCGAGGCTAGGAGGGAGAGATAGGGGTCTGACTCGAGGCGTCGTCGGACCTCAGCTGGGAGTCAGGGCGGTCGAGCAGAGTCGGACCGTACTGACCGTACTGCCAGACTATAGGATTCTAGCTCTTCGTATGAGGGTGCATCAGGGGGGTAGACCAGCTTAGGAGGCATGACGTCAGCTCCTTTAGTGGGTGGTGGGACGTACGTGGTTGGCTCGTCGTCGCAGCAGCCACATCAGTCTCAGCATTTGGGAGTGCAGCAGCAGGGTGAGCCTAGATGGGCTGGCCCTACTCTCTCGATTCAGGCTCCTTCAAATCAGGTAGGGGGCGAGGAGCATACTCCACGGATTGTACAGTTCTTTGATACTTTTGGAGTTCCTCTTCATTTGCGTCCTCCACCGTAATAGACGTACATGTATTTGTATTTATTTTGTTTTTGTAGGACTTTGCTTATTTGACTCGGACACTTTGTATATATAGCTATGATTACTATGTTTAGTTTTAGCTTTGCATTTTTAATTTTCATTTTATTGTGTATGCGAGTGTGAAAATTATGACTAACTTTCAATGGAGGGTATCCGACTTTCTCCAAAAAAAAAAATAAAAAATAAAAATCGTGCTTAAACTTAATTAAACTCAATATAATTAAAATATCACAAAAGTGTTTTCCATTAGGTTGGATTGGAGTGGATAATGATTTGAAAATGGTGAAAGCCGTAAAATTGCAGTACAAATTTGAGTCAACGTTAAGAAAAACTTGGTTAGCGTAGTGCGCAAGGCTACCGTGACATTCACCTGGCCATCGCGATGCGACAAGGATCACGCGACGTGTAATTCCTGTCGCATGGCGCTGGATTTATTTCTCTGAATCCCAACAGGATTCGGTTTGCATCAATTTTGTGTATAAATTGCCCCCAAATCTGACGATTTATGTATACACTACAAGAAAAAGGGGAATTAGCGACGGCCAATGTAGTTGCAAATCCGTCGGATTAGAGACTAAAGAGAGCAATGTCTTAAGACTACAGAGACCAATATTTTGTGATGGATTAGCGATTACAAGACTAAATTTTAGCGACTACGAGACTAAACTTTTGCAACTACAAAGACTAAATTTATTTTGCAATGGATTAGCGACTTACCACTGAGACCAATTATTTTGCAACCAACCAATTAGTCGCTAAATTTTTGCGACTAACTATCAATATTTGGAGACCATAATTTACTAGTTACCAATATCAATAAAAAAGAAAGGTGCCCACGAATAAATTCAAATAACCAAAATGCTAATTTTATTTAAATATCCAAACTATCATCAATATTGTATCAATGTAGTAAAAAATAATATCATAATTCATATGACTAATCCATAACCATTATAAAAATGCAAAACTAAATACTATAGCTTATGAATAGTAACTTCTGGTGCTATTACATAGATGCCCTTACAATTAATGAATTGCCCAAATTGCCCTTGCTTAATCAATTGCCTTCCGTGATAGCTGTAATTGAGAGTGGGCCCCTTGCTTCTACACCGACTTCCCTCTCTCCGTTTTCATCTCAGAAGGAAAGGGTCAGAGGCTCAGAGCATTTGATTAAGCAAGGAGAGAGAAACCTAGAGAGAGAAAAATTCAGCAACTCAAGACCATCGATCATCGCTTTCGACGATGGGGCTTCGATTCTTCTCAGCCTCCGAGGTTGTGGAAAATGACTTTCCGATCGTCACATTTATCAGGTTCGATCTTGTTCTTGTTGTTTTCGATATGTTCAATGTGTATTCGATTTTTTTTGGTTGAATCTTTGTGGGTGTATTTGAGCAAAATCGCTTCGTTTTTATTGGGGTTTATTTGATCGATTTGTTTTCGATTTTTTTGGCTTTATTTGGTCGATTGGTTTTCGATTATTTTGGGGTTTATTTGATCGATTTGTTTTCGATTTTTTGACTTTATTTGGTCGATTGGTTTTCGATTATTTTGGGGTTTATTTGATCGATTTGTTTTCGATTTTTTTTTTATTTATTCAATTGGTTTTCGATTATTTTAGGGTTTATTTGATCGATTTGTTTCTGGTTTTTGGTTTTCGTTTTTTGGGTTAAATTTGTGTGACTTATCATTCTTTTTGGTTGAATTGTCGGATTTGTAGTTGAATTGTTGATCTCTAGGTACAATTCTCTCCCTCCTTTCTCTTCTGAGGTTTCTCCAACCCTCCACTGAAGCAATTCCTGGACTTTCCTCTCCATTGAAGAAGCTTGAGAGGTTATTTGATGATTCTCTAATCTCGAGGTTTGATTCTCTCTTCTTTCACTCTCGTGTTCTAATTGTTTGAATGTTCAGCTCTTTGATTAAATTTTTCCTTTTATTTGAATGTTGACTGATTTAGCTCCCTTTCCTGTGAAATATTTGGAGTACGTTGTGTGTTTTTCTAATAAAATGTGGGAAAGTTTTGAATTTTATTTGTTTTTAGAATAAATATGTCAAGTAATCGCAGAAATTAAATAGATGTTTGTGGTTAATATTCAAATTGTGGTGATAAATTTCTGTTCTGTGCAACAAATTGTTTGGATTATGGCTTACACATGTAATTTTAATGATGCATTGGTTTGGGATGTATAATTTGCAACTGATATGAAATGGAGGAGCTGATTTGGTTTTAGTGTTTTCGGATGCTTAATTATAGGCTATATGATCTGAGTAATTTGTTTTTGCTTTTATGGTTGATTGATGGGTACTTTTGTTAAGAAGAAATGGGTGAGGAGGCTACTAAAGTTGTTGTACCGGAGTTGGTTTTGAAAAAGCAGAAGAGGAAGGAAGAATGGGCTTTGGCCAAGAAAGAGGATCAGGATGTTCAGAAGAAGAAGAGAGTTGAAATCAGGAAGCTGATCACTAACTACAGCAGTAAATTTGATCACATTAATTAATTACACAGAATTCAGCAAGTGCATCAGGAATAATAACTTAATTAAGCTGATTTATTTTCCGAAAGTATGTTGAATTGTTGATCCCACTAGCAACAAGCATATATTCTTTCATGATTCAAACCTTCTATTCATAACTTCTTTGTATTAAAAGGTGCAATTAAATCATAATGAATTACTGCATTAATAAAAATGTCTCAAAAGAATAATATATTGTCTTAAAAAATTACTGCATTAATAACCTTGATAAAAGTCAGCTCTCTGATTTGATTCTTCTTTTCCCCTAATACAATCATAATTAATTATGCTATGTCAATTGGTCTAGAAATTACATGTCTTTTAAATGTTTAACAATACTTATCTTTCTAATAAATTAATCATATACTACCTCCGTTAACTATTAATCATATACTACCTCCGTTAATCATATGGTGATTTCTTGTATTGATTGTATGTTCTGTCTACACTTCTTAGTTCTTATAGAAGCAGGAAACTGATAATTTATTAATCATGTCATCATGATTACTAAATTATAGGGATATTAGATGGTCATACAATTAAATAAGTTATAAGCAATACTTTTACTGCATCTGATCAAGCTTTAATTTTCTCAATCCCTCTTCCTCCAAGTAAGCAGAAAGATGTTATGTACTGGTGGCCTAATAAGAGTGGTGTCTAAAGCGTCAAGTCAAGCTATTGGTTAGGTAAAAATAGCCCTTTGCCTCTGCTTTCCCAGGGTGATTTGGAGGTTTGGAAGAAGATTTGGAAGTTGTTGGGACCTCCCAAACTCAGGCACTTTATTTGGCGTGCGTGTAAGAATTTCCTTGCTGTTAAAGAAAGGCTTATGTTCCATAATATCCTCCCTAATAGCTCCTGCTCAATTTGTAATCAGGGGTGTGAAACTACCATTCATGCCATTTTTGAATGTAGTATTGCTAAGGAGATTTGGGCAGCTAGCAATATTGTGAGTTTGTTATCTTAAGCCCCTGCCACTTCTTTTGCTAATAGATGGATGTGGGTAGCACCACAGGTTTCTAAGACTGAACTAATGGAGTTCTGTACTCTAAACTAATGGAGTTCTCTTTTCTGGGGTGGGCTGCGTGGCGTGGGAGAAATGAGCTCGGTTTTCCTTGCCTCTGGGTTTATGAAGATGGTGCATGATTATGAGGAGTATGCTGTGAGGATCTCAAAACCAGTCCCACGTCAGTCTTTTGCTTCAACAAAATCTTGGAGTTTCCCGCAAGAAGGTATGATTAAAATTAATTGCAATGCCCACATTGGTAATGTAACGGGACTTGGTGTGGTTGCCAGGGACCATTTGGGTAATAGTTTGGTGGCAGTGGTACGTGCTGAAGCTGCGGGGTGGACTGCTATTGTGGCGGAAGCGGCTGCTTTCTGGTTTGGTGTACACTCGCACTGAGGATGGGCTACTCAAAGGTTCATATGGAATGTGATGCTACCAATGTGGTTCAAGGTGTGAAGACAAATGTCGTGGGACTATCCCCTTTTCACCAGTTTATTGATGCAATTAGCATAGCCACAAAATCTTTCTCTCATTTTAATATTAGTCATGTAAGTCGGGCGGGATACACTCTAGCTTATTTAGTGGCTAGGTTCGATAGTTGTAATTATAAGGAGTTTGTTTGTTTTGGACCTTTCCCTCAAAGTCTCGTGACTTTGGCGGGACTTGATTTAATCTAATATTATACTGTCCGGTGTTTTCACAAGATGCAATTAAATAAGTTGGGATAATAGTAATATCTTGAGGGAGGAGTAGTTTCTATAAATGTCAGTGGTGAAGAGGGGAGAGAGAGAGAGAGAGAGGTTGTGTACGTCTTTTATAGGAATACTGCCTTAGTATCCCAAACTGATATTATTAGACTTTAGTTTTTTGTACAACAACATGATCCATAGCTGAGGTGTGAGGTAAGTACTAATTGAAATTTTAAATAAAATATATTTGATTTTGAAGGCTTTGCTCGTATTGTGTTACTATTCTAATTTTTTCGTATCATGGTGCAATTTTTATTTCTTTATATTTATTGGCAGTTTGTTGGGAGCCATTAGGCAAAGAAGAGTGCAAGAGGCAATGGCACAGCGCGACGGAGATAGTTTGACATAAATACTTGATTGTGTCGGTTTTTTTTAAATCAGATCTTTAAACCCTTAAATGTAATATTTGTTTTATTAATGTAGTATATAGTCTTATATTAGAGAAATGAGACATTGTTGTAAAACTTTTTTCACCTAGATTTTTCAATTTTGACTCAAATATTAGAAATAGTGACATTCGTTTATTCACCATTAGTAGTATTCTAAGTTTGTTTAAGCTCTGTTTGCTTATTAAACATTCAATGTCATTCGTTCATAAATGTGGTTTTGTGACAATAATGGAAATGTTAGCTAATTTGTAGCATTTTTAGAATAAAACGTTTACCCTTATAGTAAAATTAAGGGGAGAGAGAGAGGGAAAAAGGGAAGGAGTAGGAGGAGAGAGAGAAAGAGAAAGAGAGAGAGGGGAAAAGAGGGAGGGAGTGGGAGGAGAAAGAGAGTGAGATGGATCTAGAGAGAGAGAGAGAGAGAGAGAGAGAGAAGGGTCCGGATAGAGAAAGAGAGAGACATATGAGCCAGGAGTAGAGGGATAGGGAGACAGCGAGAGATATATATATATAAGGGTCAGAAGAGAAAGAAATAAAGCAATTAAGAGAAAGAGGGGCAGGGAGAGAGGGATAAAAAGTGAGATGAGTCGGGAAAGAAAGAGAGAGAGGGAGGCTTACCAAACCGCTCAAATCATACAGCAGTGGATAGGAAGGAGAAAAAAGGAACATTAAAAAAAAAGTTAGTGACTACCATACAAATAAGATCCCCTAATCATTACGTTAATACCACTCCAAAATACGAAACACGATCACATCATGAATCTTACATATCTTACCGTCGAGGGGGGGGGGGACACATAGCGCGCGCTCAAAAGTAAAGTTATTCCCTCCAACCGTATTATCTAAAAATCGTACATAATTTAATTTAACAAGCAAATAAACTTTAATACATACACATGATATTTCTCATTCATTTTATACACTCCGTATCAGTTACAAACTCTAACAATTATAATTTTCAATAGAAGAACCACTTGAAAATTTTCTACTTTAAATAGTCTAACAAACATATATACAATTCTTTTATATATTTTACATTTAATACATTTTACATAACTTTAACCTCTAATATTGCATTTCCTTATTATTAATCCTTATTATCATAATCATTTAAAATATAACTCTTCGAAAATTATTTAGGTACTCAATAAACCATATTATGTTCTGAAATAATATCTACAACAATAGTATACTTTTTTTAAAAATCATTAAATTCTAACAAATTCTAGATAACTTCACTTATATCAATTGTTTTTCCATACATATATCTCCATAGAAACTTTATCACTATTCCTTGTTAGTACTTACAAATTCTTGTATCCTTGCTATTACAAAACCGAATACAACCACGAATATTACAATAACCGAACACAACTACGAATTTTACTTATCTTACAAGCTTTATCACTACCCCTTCTAACAACTTATAAATTAAAAAAGCCTCTATAATTACTTGACCTAAACAAAATCACGAAAACCTCAAAAAAGGAACAATTTCACGAATCATACTTATCTTGCCGTCGAGGGAGCACGCGCAACGCGCGTGCTTCAACGACTAGTTATTTCAAAAATCAACTCCCACACAAAGGAATCTACTTCCAATAAGAACTAATGACGATATAAAAATACATCTCCAAAAATAAATTCAAATGTTCACAAAATTACCACCCGGGTGAGATTAGAGGCCTAGAAGGACAGTAATGTTGGACAAGAGTTATCATTTCCTTCAATGTTTTGTGCATATCCATTTTTTCCTTCTTCCAAGTAGCTTTCCTTAGCATATTTTAAGCTTTCCGCATCCATTTTTTAGCTTTCTTCTGCCTTGTTATGGTTTTCTTCCGCCATCTTCTTTAATTCTTCAACTTGAGAACATAGTTGGGAAATCATGGAAGTAGTGAAAGATGATGCAGTATGATGGGAGTAGGATCACTCTTTTAGTACATTTGTGAAGCGCTGCGTAAATCGTAAACTTTTCCTTTCTTTTACCCACCTACCTCCAAATAGACTTTGTAAGGGCTTACCTCAATTCCTTTGTTTTTATATTTTCCTCAAGTTTTACCATATATTCTCCCTGCATTAAGATATGTAGTAGTAAGTATAGTTTCAATTGTTAAAGCTTCAAGACTTGAAGCATAAAAAAAAAATGCAACACTTATATAATATAATTAATGAAAACAACTATTAGTAAAAATTATAGTTTGGAGTATTATGTAATTATATGTGACCCAAAAACAAAGAACCAAGTAATATGCAGAGTATTTCCTCAAAAAAAAAAAAGGTAATATGCAGAGTATTATCAAACATTTTCAGTGACGTTAATTATTCAGGTAACTTAAACAGTGTGTGTGTGGGGCTATGTCAAGCCTAGAATAATTTTTTACAAAAAAGGCACATATCAAAGAAGGACCCGGCTTAAAACCAACATCTAGATCACAAATAGAGCACTCCAACATCTCCCATATATGAAAGCACTCTTGGTTTTCTTCCCCTGTTGTTGTCAACTTTCGTATAGATATAAAAGCAGAATAATGAGTGTGCGTGTTGTATCGCAGCAGGTGTTTCTTTGAAACATTCTGCACAGTGTTAAATCTCTAAAGCTTCTAGATAGGATGTTTCCCTTGTGATGAGAACCTCCAGGAGAAACACATACCCCATTTGATTTTTCTACATTAATAACTATTATCAGTTAGTATTAAGTCACATGAGTTAGTAAGAAAATTCAATAAAAAGTGTTGCAATAATTAAAACTACAATGCATTATGCCTTTACTTATCATCTTGCCTGAATAACATAGTTTATCACCCAAATCTTGAATAAGATGTTATATTTACTTATCTATATATCACAGCTTATTCTGTAAAACTTGATGGTCATGGATTTCTAAAAATTTATAATTTACTATTTGATAAAGTGATACAACTAATCCTAAAGCACGTTGATTAATTTTCTTAAAAAGTTAGGCAACATAGGTATCCACAGAAAATTCAATATACACTTGCCTAAGATCCATAGCAATTTCAAAATCTAAATTACTAAGTAGCTTCAAACATATTCAAAACTAGACTACAAATAGATAGTCTAGTGTTTCTTTAAATTGTCAAGAGGACTATATATATTACACAACATAAGCTTAACTTAATCCTAATTTCGATAACTTTCTAGTAGAGATTTAAATGGTTGGAAACATTACCCTATTTGTTGACATACTTGCCGACATAATAATTCGAGTCAAATTTCTAAAAAGCCACAAACAACTTACAAAAGAGTACAATAACTAATACTATGATAAGACTTAAGAACTATCTTATATACTTATTCAGATGCCAGGCTATGTATGTGTAATTAGAAAATGCTCACAAATCTACAACATATAACTAAATGCAGAATCTGGGAAGCAGACATAACCAGATTGTGAGAAGCTATATAGAGAATACTAAGTGTCGTGACAAGATGCATCCAAAGTAGATTTTTCATATTCAGCAACAAAGAAAGAAAATGCTTCCCCACTCAATTAACCTAGTGTTATTTTAGCCCCTAACTTGTTGCCCCACAACTCAATTAACTAACACCAAATTCTTCCTCTCCAAACTCTCTTAAACAACACCACATCAAACAACCCCATTAGGCGTTGCTTGATATCATCTTGTTCTCACACACCCTACTTGTCGCGCACCTACCAACCTCATCACACACCCGCAATACTAGCGGCAACACACTCAACTCCCACCCATCCACCCAACCGTAACCATGCACCAAACCACTTTTCCCCTGCAACAACAACCATGCAGCAGCTGCGCAAAGAGAAGCCTTGCATTCACACCCCATTATTGAAACTTCTTCTCCCTCGCGCCCATTCCAGCGACCACCCACAACCATTGCCACAACAATTAAGCGCAACAAATTAGGCCCAAAACACAATAAAATCAGAGCAAACAAGAATTCAATGGAGTTCGAGCGAACCTCAATACACTCCAACCATTGATTACCCAATTACAAATATAACTACTCTAACCAATCAACCCCCTTCTTCAGAAATTTTATATTTTAGCACTATTAGAGGGGAAAAAATAGGATCTGAATAACCAGACTTAAGTTTTTACATAGACATTAATTAGGGCTTTTTGCAAAATCGCTCAAATTTGAATGATTTTTCATTAATTGACTTCAACCAGACCATGGAAACCAAAGTAAAATCAATAATTGGACAAAAAATTCAATGATAACCCTAAAATTCATAGTTGGCTAAATAAAATTAGCGAAAGATAGATTGGCCTGTAGAAAGGGGAAGAATGCGTCAGACTTTAAACAATTAAACTTACCTGGTAAGAGAATTGGTGGCGCAGGCCACGCAGCGGAGGTAGATCGACATGAGCGACAATGAGGGTTGATTATCAGAATTAGCCTTCTGCGTGTTTTATTTTTTAGGATGAAGAGTTTGTTCAGCATAGATGAATAATTGACTTAACACTTTTTTTTTTGAGGAAATATAACTTGAGACTTAAGAGTGATTGATTAAGTCAAGTTTTTGTTATATTTCTTTTTTAATACGAGTAAATTTTAAAAACAAGGGTAGAAATTACCAAATACCAACTAGTTTCAATGTTACTCGCAATTTTTTTTTTAAAAAAAAAGTTTCAAAATGAAATTAACCCTAGCAACTACAATTTAGTTGCAAAAATTATTATAACGTCGCAAATTAGCGATCACATAGCAACTACTGCAAAATCAGTTGCAAAATTTGCAACTACTCATATCTTTGAGTTGCAAAAATATTTTTTACAACTGAATATTATGGTTGTTGTAAATATCAGTCGCAAATCAGCAACCGCATAGCAACTAATGCAAAATTAGTTGCAAATTTTGCGACTGCCTGTCTTTTCAGTCGCAAAAGTACTTTTTGCGACTGAATATTAGGATAGTCGCAAATATCAGTTGTTAATTCCCTTTTTTCTTGTAGTGATAGTTGAACATATTTAAAATAGTGCTAGCTTTTATTTCTTAATCATGTCTAAGAGTTTTTGCGATTTCACTCGTGAGTGATGTCGGTCTCTGGCCGCTAAGGAGAGAAAAGAACTTGACTTTTTCCACTTGAGAGGTATATATGGTATAAAGGGGGTAGATCTTGACATAGACTTTGTTCATACCGCCTTGGAAAATTGGGATTCAGATACTCATTGCTTTAGACATGGTTATGATGAAATTTGTCCTTTACCCGAAGAATTTGGTGCCATTTTAGGCTTCCCTTCCCTAAATCTTGCGGTAATTCCAAAAGTAAATGAGTATTATTAAAAATATTTTGAGCGTTTCCTTAATCTTAAGGATAAGGACTTGAAAAATATTGTGCATGGAAACATAGTTAATTTGAAAGAATTTGCACGCTTATATTTTGACGGACCACGCTCTGAATTTTTTCATGTTTATAGGAGGAGAGCTTTCCTTTTTTGCATGCTAAACCAATATCTTCTCACTAGTGGTAATATTCATGAGGGCCAAGCTATTTTAGCATCTGTCATGGAGCAAATTGAATCAGGTAGAAATCTGATGCCTTTGATTGTTGGAGAAACCATACTTGGTTTGGACAAATTAAAAAACAATCCAAAAGCACCTCTTTGAGGTTCTCCAATATTATTACAGGTAGAAAATTAATACTTTTAACTGCATAAATCAAAATATTTAACTTTGTATATTAATAATAATTATTTGCATTGATATTTTTACAGATGTGACTAATGGATAGGCTTGAATTAATTAGCCTTCCTGACAATGTTGATAACTAATCCCCAAATTACTTTGTAAGACGGAAGAAAAGATTTTGCATAAAGATGGGCCGCCTGGAGTGGAGTAGCATCTTTGAAACTTGCGACTTTACCATCAGATGTGTCATTCCTTGGTGGAAAATTGAAAAGATGGTTGGTGTCAATAGCCAGTCTTTTTGCCGTCTTCCTAGCTTGTCAAAATTGACTTTTTTATTACCCTTAGCTTCCAGGGTGAGGAGACAATATGGACTTGCTCAAACTGTTCCATCTGGTGATCTTCGTTGTCCCTATGAATTTCCTGTTTCACAAGATGCAGAGAGATTTGATGATTATTGGTGTGCTAGACCTTTATGAGAATTTGTTATCCAGAAGATACCAACTTCCTTGTTTAGGGATATGAAGCAATGGCTACTTGTTAGATCTCAAAAGGACAAGAATAAGGCTCGAAAACTTAGTAAGACCAATGTGAAAGATCGCCTAGGGAACAAGAAATAAAATTCCTCCTAAGGAGCGTTTGGGTGAAAGAGTTGAATTCAAGACTCCTATTATGCCTAAGAAGAAAAGTTCTAAAGGTAACGAGAAAAGAAAAGCTGACTCTACAAAAAAGAAAGTGTGGGATGAAAAGAAGCACATTGTAATGGCTATTGGAGAAACTATCAACACCAAGATTGAGTATATGTAATACCCCGTATTTTTATACGTATTTTATTTTAAAATATGTATTTTATAAAGTATTTGAATAATTTTAATATCTTAATTATGGTATTTTAACTAATATATTTATAAGGAAAGTTTATTTAATTTCTTTATTTATAAATGTTGGGGTTTTATTTTAAGAAAGTTTAATTTTAACAAGTTTTATTAGGGAAAGAATTAGGAAAAACTAAAAGAGGGAAGTTTAGGGAAAAAGGGATTGGTAGAGAAGGGGTATAAATATCCTACTTATGAGGCAAATCAACTTTGCCCAGAGTGGAGAAAAACCCAAGGTAAACTTCTCTCTCTCTTTTCTCCTTATTTTCTTTCTTTTTCTTTCCCCCTTCCCCTTTCTTATTTTTCGGCTGCTCTGTTTTCCGCCCCCTCCACCGCTGCTAGCCACCGGAAGCAGGTGGCCGCCGCTACCAGCAGCGTCAGCCGCCGGCAGCAGGTGGCCGCCATTGCCAGCAGCCGACAGCAAGCGGCTGCCATGCCTCCTCTTCCCCTTTTTCGAGTGTAAAAAAAAAATTAACTTTATTGTTCTAATTTAATCTATGTTCAAATCTAATTGTAAATTATGAGTTTTGGGATTTGATTTTGATGTTTGATTATAATAATTATGTTGATTAATTTTCAGATTTGATTTTTAATTAAAAAGCCCCAATTTTGAAACCCTAGGTTCATGATTTATGAGTTATTGAAGGATTATGATGTATATTGGTTTAGATCTTTGTTTCAAGTGTTTTAAGGCTTAATTACATCAAGTTTTAATTAAAATAAAGTGCTGGAATTTTATGTAGAACACTTAATATTATGTTTCTTGAAGGAATTTTAATTACCCATTAATTGGGACTTAATTATGTTGTTTTAAAAATAATTTCAGCTTACTTTAATTAAATTATGAGGGGTTTTAAAATAGTATATATTGCTGGAAATTTGTTTAGAGTGGATTTTAATACTCTATTATGATTTTATTGTGTAGGAGACTTCGAAGTAAGCAATTTCTATTAGTTGTGGCGATTTTAAGATCGTACTCAAGTTACGTTCGCGTACTTAGTATATTTTGGTGATGTAGTATCATGCTAGGCTTGATTTAAATCAATTACAAGTAGTATCATGCTAAGGTCTATGATTGAAATTGTGAATTATTGGTGTTGGTGATTGAATTGTGAAGCATGAATTATTTATGATGGTTTATGGATTGGAAAATTATATTTTGGCATGATTATACGGACTACACTTTTATTTATGGCATGTTAGAATGGGAATGCATGTTTAATTAAACTACATTTTTAATTTGGCTTGGAATATTGAAAAGGAATTTTATTATGGTTCATATAATTTTTATTGATGCTTTAAGCATGAGGAAGGAGCTATATAAGTGTCTATGTACACGAGGAATAAATTGTATGTTGGTGCCTTTGTGCACTTAAGGTGTTTTTAACACCGAGGGATAGGATTTTTGGCGCTTTATGCGTTTAAGGTGTCTTTGACAATGAGGTAGAATTAAAAAGGGTTCAACATTAAATAATATATGATCACTAATTATTCAAGAATTAAATTGGTATGTTTAGTTGATTGAATAATTATTATTGATTGATTTATTATGCTTTGAGAGTCATCACCAAGTCCAATAACATGTAAATAAAGTAAAGTGAAAGAGATTACGCACCAAAACTCTTGGAACGTATATACCTTGAGTATGAACAATGGGGGGAGTTATGGGGTTTTATATTTAACCATAACTTCTAATGGAGTACAGGACGCTATACATTTCTTTTTATTTATTATTACGCGGCAGGAATTCTGCCAACTTTGAGTGGTTTTGTCGCAAGCACGATTAGCTCGCGTGTCATTTAACCTCAATTTATTTGGGGGAGGTATATTTGGAAACCCGTTCGATGCGTAATCAACGCTAAATGAATTATTTAGTGTCTAGTTAAAGGGTTTCCTACGTATCATTTCCTAAGGAATCATGCCAAACGTAGCTCTCTTGAATTATCCTACTCACATAATTATGGGTAGTACTTCTTAAATTGGTCAAGATTGGTCATATATAAAAATTCATTGCCATCAATGTCAGTTAGTTTTTCCGCGCCTCTTGATAGGATGGTTTTGACAACGTATGGTCCGGACCAATTAGGCCTAAATTCCCCTTAGGTCTAGAACATTCTTCCTTAATTCTTTTAACACCAAGTCTCCTACCTTAATGTTTCTTGTCTTGACCTTCTTGTTAAAATGTCTAGCCATACGAGTTTGGTAGCATTGAGTATGATGTAGAGCTTCTAGTCATTTTTCATCAAGTAGAATAAGCTTTTCATATCTCGCTCTAGTCCATTCGACTTCATCGAGTTTACTTTCCAAAACAATGCGTAGGGAAGGTATTTCTAGCTCTAAAGGTTGTACGACATCCATTCCATAGACTAAGGAGAATGGTGTATTTCTTGTTGATGAGCTAATTGATGTGCGATAACCCTAAAGAGCGAAGTGGAGTTTGTTAGGACAATCCTTATAGTTTTCTGTCATTTTCTCGATGATGGCCTTTAAATTCTTATTGGCTACCTCAACTGCACCATTCACTTGGGGTCTATATGGGGAAGAATGACGGTGCTGAATACCATACTTTTGTAGCAATTCTTCACATTCTGCTTGAAGTGAGTTCCATTGTCACTTATAATTTCATGTGGGACTCTATATCGACATATGATGTTTCTTTCGATAAAGAGTGCTACATGCTTTGTAGTGAGTTTTATATATGATGCTGTTTCGACCCATTTTGTAAAATAGTCGATCGCTACTAGAATGTATTCATGTCCTCATGTCCCAAGAGGAGTAATCTTTCCAATAATATCTATTCCCCATGTTGAGAATGGCAGGTGAAGTGTAGGTGTAAAGGAGTGATGGAGGAACGTGTTGCAAGTAAGCGTATATTTGACATTTAGGAAATTTTTTCATATAGTGATAACAATCCTTATTCATAGTAGTCTAATAATACCCTTCGCGCATTATCTTTTGGACTAGCATCTTGCCATTCACATGAGTTCCACATACCCCTTCGTGGACTATTCTCATTATCTTTGGGCTTCCTTTTTCCTACACACAAAGGAGCTCGACCTTTAGGTACCCTTTTGTGTAGCTTATTGTCTATGAGTACAGATTGGGAAGCCAAAAGACTTAAGGATCATTTTTCTCTTTTGTCAGCGTGTAGTGGATATTCTCCTTTGGTGACATAGTTGAGGATGTCTGTATACCAAGGTTTTTCTTCTTCTTCTTCTTCTTCTTCTTCTTCTTCTTCTTCTTCTTCTTCTTCTTCTTCTTCTTCTTCTTCTTCTTCTTCTTCTTCTTCTTCTTCTTCTCCTCCTCCTCCCTCCTCTTGGACTACCTCATTGTCTTCTATGGCTTGAATGTAAGCTGGTTTATGCCTTTATTCTATTGTTAAAGGCATTTGCTCGATTTCTGTGGGTATTCTAAGTATTGAGGCTTGCCTTGCCAAAGCATCAGGGAATTGATTTTCCTCTCTTGGTAGATATGTGTATTATACCTTTTCTAACTAATTAATGAGAGTTTCCAGATATGTTTGGTAAGGGGCCAAGCTTTCGCTCCTTACTTTCCACCTTTTGGAAATTTGGTTGATGATTAGAGAGGAATCTCCAAATATTCTAAGTTTCTTTACTCCCAACGCCAAAGCTATTTTGAGGCCTACCACGCATGCTTCATATTTAGCATCATTGTTGGTAACATCAAAATCTAACTTTATGGAGATTGGGACATGCTCTTCTTTAGGTGATACCAATAATACTCCTATACCACAACCCTTTTGGTTTGATGCCCCATCGAAGTATAATGTCCACGTATCATCTTCTGTAAGCATTAGGTCTTCATCTAGAAACTCGTTTTCACGTATAGGCGTAGAATCTTCTATTGGGAAATCCGCTAGGAAATCTGAGACCACCGATCCTTTAATGGTCTTTTGGGGCAGAAACCTTACATCAAATAGGGCTAAGTTGACTATCCATCTTGATATTTTCTAATTAACTATATACTTCTCAAAGAGATAGTTTAGCGGATCCATCCAAGATATTACATAGACTGTATGAACGAGCATGTAGTGTCTTAATTTGGTTGTGGCCCACACCAATGCGAGGCATAATTTTTCAAGTGGTGTGTATCGTACTTCATACTCGAGCATCTTTTTGCTTAAGTAGTAGATGGCGTTTTCTTTTCCTTCTAATTCTTGTGCGAGCATAACCCCCATTGTTTCTTTGGTGACTGTTAAATATAACCTAAGAGGGATTCCCAGGAGCGCAGGTGCTAGTACGGGAGGATTAGCAAGATAGGCTTTGTTTTCTCAAAGTCTTTTTGAAACTCATTATTGTCCTATATTACTAGCACGTTCTTTTTTAGTTTCTTGAATATGGGTTCACATATCGTGGTTGATTTGGATGTGAACCTACTTATATATTGAAACCGGCCAATGAATCCTTGAATCTCTCGGTCTTGGGCGGCGGCATTGACATAATTGCTTTAATCTTGGTTGGGTCTATCTGTATTCCTCTAGAGCTAATAACATATCCTAAAAGTTTTGCTGAGGTAACTTTAAAGGCACACTTAGATGGATTTAACCTCATGTTGTATTTCCTCAGCCTTTCGAATAATTTTCTTAAGGCTACTAGATGTCCTGGACGATCTTTTGATTTTACAATCATATCTTCTATGTAGACCTTAACTTCTTTGTGCATCATGTCATGTAATAAGGCAGTCGCTGCTCTTCGGTAAGTGGCACCCGCGTGTTTTAACCTAAATGACATTACCATTTAACAGTTTGTGCCCCATGGCGTAGTCTTTTCCATATCTTCCTCGGCCATAAGAATCTTGTTGTATCCCGTGTATCCATCCTTAAATGAGAGAAGCGCATGATTTGATGTATTATATACCAAAATGTCGATGTGTGGTAAAGGGAAGTCGTCCTTTGGACTTGCCTTATTTAAATCTCTATAGTCGACACACATTCTTACCCTTCCATCTTTCTTTGGAACCAGCACCACATTTGCAACCCATTCTTGGTATTTAGATACCTTGATAAAACCTGCATTAATTTTTTTTTGAACTTCTTTTATTTTAAGAGCTACGTCGATTTTCATTCGACATAACTTTTGTTTTATAGGTTTCACTCTTGAAATTAGTGGTATTGTGTGTTAAGCTATTTCTCTAATTATTCCTGGCATATCTTCATATGACCAAGAAAATACATTGATAAATTCTTTTAGTAGATTAATTAAACCGGTTCTTTCTTCTTTAGTAAGAGTTAGTCCGATTTTAAGTTCTCTTTTAACGTTTGGATCCTTTGAGATATCAACTGTTTCAGTGTCTTAGCTTCTATTATTGGTTTTTTTATTCTCAAGTCTTTCCACTGCTTTAATTATTTCTTTGTCACTTTTATTGTTAGTTAAGCAATGCTCGTCATCTTGGGTTAAGGAATGACACGAGGAGTAAGCAAAAGAAGACATATTATTGAATTCGAAAATCATTACATCAAATAAAGAAAGGTCCGTTGGGACTTGACCACTAACTATCTTAGGAGTAGATGCTAGAGTAGAATAGTTAGGGAGAGATATAACTAAAGGTTTTGAAGACTCGATAGGAGAATACTCAGATTCAGACTCTGAATCAGACGACTCTTCGAACATAGGTCCTTGTCCAGTTGTTATAGAGATCTTCCGTCCGCTTAGTGTAGTCCCCTTCACAGTCTTTCTCCATCCCTGGACTAGTCCCTCTGCTGGAGTGATAATCTTTGAGGGGTCAAAGCTCTCACTTTCTAGTGTTGTCTGAATGAGCGCGGAGTTGTCTTCAACATATTTTGGCTCATTCTTCTCGTGACCAAAAAGAAGTCCCATGACATTAAATTCAAAGCATGAAGGTACTTTCTCCTTATAGATAGGAGTAGGGATGTCTTCTAAGAAGTGGCAATCTAGGAAGATTTTGAACCCAGGTTGTCTTATTCCATCTTTGACAAAGGGCTCGAAAAATTCATAGCATGGATAATTTTCACCCTCTCTTATGAATTGTCCATTTAGGGTAAGGGGATATTGATCCATTGGGATTTCTTTCTTGTGGGTACGAGCATTTCTCCGCCCATTAGCCTTTTCTCGGGCTTGCTTATAGTCTTTCGGATTCTGTTCAAAACAAAGTCCAAAAGTATCTAATTTAGGAAGGCCAGGTGATTTCGCTTGTATTGCTACTCCTTTCTTCTTTCCTAGAGTCATTCTAGGAAAGTGTCCTTGTTTTCGGAGTATACCATTAACTATCAGATTTGAATGGAGGTCATGGCAAAGAGAGGTCCTTTCATCTTCCTCGATTAAGGAGACCTCTCACTAGTGGAAAAATTGTCATTCGTAACGGGCTATTTGTGACGGGCAAAGCTATGCCCGTTACAATAAACATATTCGTAACGGTCAAAAGAATAATCCGTTACAAATGTATATTATTTGTAAAGGGCACTATATTACCCATTACGGAAACTATGTTATTTGTAACGGGCAACATAGTGCCCATTACAAATTACGAATACTATTTATTTGTAACGCACAAGATAATGCACATTACAAATGTTCAAATTTGGTCTAATTCTGAGAAAAGCCCATTCTTATAATTAGGATTTCATCTCTCCTCTAGTCCTTAGCCGTCCTACCCACCCCTCTTTCCTCTCTCCTCTCTCATTTGACTCAATCTCTCTCTTCTCCGCATTCACTCAATCTCTCTCTTCTAGTAACACCCTCGATTTACTAGCTAATAATAAACAATGAATAAAAGAAAAATAAACAACCTTTGAATAAAATTGCCGAAGCATACCCTTAAATCGGAGGTATCACCGCCACACTTAACAACTTGTCAAGTGCTAAGGCTTACAATATCCTAACAATACAACCAAATAAATCTAGGTGAGCTATTTATACAACTTTACAAACTCGTTATAGCATACTAATCGAAACACTTGAGCTCCTTTAGCTACGATCACTTTATCATCCTACTTAAACAACTTGACTGCTCACCATTAAGGAAAAATTCCATAATAGATCGTCGCTGGGCCACCATAATAAGAAAAAGACATGGCCGCAAACACAAGTAGCAAACACAAACAAACAAACACGTCAGCAAAAAGCTGAGTAATCACCACTTATCATAACGCAAAAAAAAAAACAACAGAATAATTAATATAATTAACTCACTTAAACAATGTAGTTCGAAACTACATTACACATTGTACTCTGGAAATAACCTCAAATATAATAATACGATAATCTGCTCAATTAACTTATCTAACCAATAAGTGTGCCATTCTCTTTGTTCTATACCTAGCCTTGGACATGAGTAATTCGAATAACAAACCAACAAGTATAAAAACTTGAATATTCCCAATAACCAAAAAACACCTTAAACCAAATCACATACGGGTCAATTCCCACTGTAGGGGACCATAGAAAAATAAATAAAGATCGTACCTGTTTGGGGGTAAAAATACCCCCTATTTGTGACCAATGCCACCTCAACACGTGTCCGCAAGCTCAGCGCTCAATGAGCCAATCAGAGCATGACATGTGTCACTCAATGATAGAAGGGTGAAAATGGGCTTTAAGCCCAGAACCCTAGAAACCGTATAACGGTGGGAAGCCAATCTACTTAGGTTAAATAACCTAAGAGGCACATATCCCAATGCTCAATAAATACTGATCATTACATCAGTTTCAGGGGATCCAATTCTCTCTCCAAGGGCAATGCCCTCCAAAATTACTCTCCCTTCTCTCTACTTTCTCTCTTTAAAATACATTATTTCGGTCATTGACTTGATCGTCGGAGGCGGACCTCCGGCCCCCCCGAGGTCCGTTGTTTTGCAGGTGATTGGGTCGTTCGAGTGTTGCATTGCGGATCTGTCTCCCGCGGGACGTACACACCCTCCACTCGGGTGCATACAAAAAACCCCCAAACATTTGGCGCCGTCTGTGGGGAGACACATCTGTAATGGCACAACGGCTGTGGATCATCACCGAATCAAGAGGGGAGCCTCCTTTAGAAGGCATCAGGCGTCATAAGGCCGGATTTCAAGTACAACAGGCGTCATGAGGCTGAATGTCGAGAGTTAGGCGGCAAAAAAGGCCTGTCAGACTAAGTCATGCATTTCTTAAGGTTAAAGGGCAATGCCGTTTAATCTAAGTTTTATTAGGGGAGAGACGACTAAATTGGCCAACTCCACTATTTCAATCTGACTCGTTTAATGAGTCGGCCGCATGCTCAGGTCACCCAGCCGGATCATACCGACATTTATGCTCAGTCAGGTGCCACATGCTATCTTTGATTGATAGTTTGATACTATCAACATCACACAAATTGTATTATTACATACGTAATATTACCCAAGAGTAAACTCTGGTAATTAGTGGATGTACATGCGGCAAGTGACATTCACTTCCATACTTCCAAGTTTTGCCGGCTAGCCTGTTCATTAATTCACTAAAGTTCACTAGCTCATTAACTAGTGGAAGGAGAGATTCCATCATTTTTAATTTTTTTAAATTAAGCGGCTGCCTTGCTTGCATTATGACAGCCAACATTTATCCATTTGAGGGAATTGGTGAGCTCCATGATTAGCAATAACTCAAGCGGCATGACAAATTTTTGGCAAACAAGTCAGCCGTAAGAGCAGCCTGGCTCTTAAATTAAGTCCGGCTGCAATGCTGAAATTTTGATTGTTTGATTAGTCAGACGGCATTTAGGAAGTGGATGCCTGATTGATACAAATTTAAAAAGTGCATGATATTCATGATTGATAGTGATTAGGGGATTTTGCTCCCACCAATCGGAATGCGCCACGTGGGCCAATCAGGTCCTGCCAAGTGTCCCCCAATAGGAACTGTCAGGGCTTGCCACGTGGCCCGCGCTCATTCGTCCACCTTGGACCTATTATGTCATGACACGTGGCATACTCCATGCCTAATGGAGAAACCAGGCCACCCAGGCCCAACTTCCGAGGGAAGCCCAATCAGCCCTAGGTTAACCTAAACCTAGGATTGGCACGTTTCCCAAGGTTATAAATACCTCCCTTAATCCTCATTAAGGGGGAACACACATTAACAACACGTTGATTACACACGAATAACAGGCTGATCACGCTAACAAAGCAGATTACCTACATTAAACACTCTCACCTAGAGAGACCCACTCACTTTAATTTCCGCATTAATTACTCCTTAATCAAGTACTAACTTGACCGTTGGAGGCGGAGCTCCCACCACCAGGAGTCTCCGTTGTTTTGCAGGTACAGGCGTCCGGTTCTAGTCTCGGAATTGTAACTCTCCCGCAGGACATCAGAAAACCCCGAAACATTTGGCGCCGTATGTGGGGAGAGTACTTCTGAGATGGCATCCAAGTCTGTACCGACTCCTGAAGAGAGGCGTCCCCTAGACGATCCTCAAGTTCAGTCGGACCACGATACTGAGAGTGAATTTGAAGTTGAAGCTCACACAGCTTCTGACGGGACCCTAAGGGCCCGACGTACCCGTCATACCGAAAGGAGGGAACGGGAACATCTTCAAACTGGAAGTGAGCCAGCAAGCGCACCGCCTGTTCGGCAGCAGCCGACTGATGGATCTGCTCCCATTACAAGGAACGAACTCATGACCTTCATGAGGGACTTCAAGGGAGAAATTCAAGAGTTGATCAAACAGAAGCCGCCTGCTCTGGACAAGGAGCAGTCGGCTAAGAAACCTTCCACTACACTGAAGAGGAAGCCAGTTCAAGGACGAGAGGCGACTCTTCATCCTAAATCTAGGAAGCGGGAGCCACCTGCCCTTGATTTCACAAAATACCGTTTTCCTACTCCAGGAAATAGGAAACCTGTTCGTCATATTCAGGCGGACGGTTCGAAGAAATCATACACAGACGCTCGGCTACTGCTAGAGCAGAAGAGGAGTGACCGATTGTCAGAGTCGGCCTCTACTTCAAACTTCCAAGACAGTCTGCGAAATACCTCAATGAGGCATACGCAGTCGTATCATGAGAGCCAGTCAGGCGGCACCTCCCGTCAGTCCGGCTTTCATAGCGACCAGGCGGTACCAAACTTACCGTTTGTGCCGCAACAACAATATTTTTTACAACCACCTCCGTTTGGTGGACATGCAGCAAAAAACGTCCAACCTGTGGACTGGCAGCTACGGTTGCTTAGACTTGGTGAACAGCCGTCGGCTTTCTCCAAGGAAATTACTGAAGCCGCTCAGCCGGCCAAAGTGAAAAATGTATTAGTAGGCGCCTATGACGACACTACTAACCCAGAAGACCATCTTATGGCCTTCACCAACCTGATGTACCTTCAAGGGTTGGATGATCCCACTTGGTGCAAGTGTTTCCCAGCGACTCTCAAAGGAATTTCACAACAATGGTTCGACAACCTGCCGACTGGTTGTGTAAATAACTTCAGGACGCTTGCTTACTTATTCACCTCCAACTTCGCCATGAACATCCCTGCGAAGAAGACGACCCTTGATTTAGGAACAATTCAGCAGGGCGAGAAGAAGGGTCTTCGTTCTTACATCAGGCGGTTTAACCTGATGAGAATACAGATTCAAGGGTTACCGGATGAAGTAGCCTATACTGACTTTTTCAGAGGTCTCAAGGACGGGTCGACCTTCAAATTTGATTTGGTCCGAAAGAGGGTGGCGACTCTTCAAGAGGCCTTGATTGAAGCGGAAGCCTATATACAGGCGACTGATCTTTGTACGGTAAAACAGTCGGACGGGAAAAGGTTCGACAAAAGAGAAGGACGACAGAAACAGTCGTCCAACAAAGACGAGAAGAAAAAAGAGGTCTGGGCGGCTGATTCCTCTAAACAGCCGGCCCAGAAAAAGAAAAAAGAATTCAAACCATACTCCCCTAAGTATGCGTTTAACAAGGATAACCAGTTTGTCCTAAAAGAAATCAAGGGACGGATCTCAATTGAGAAGCCGGTCCCCATGAAGGGTTCTGCAAACAACCGGAACCAAGATAAATTCTGTGCTTATCATGAAGATGTTGGTCATCACACCAATGATTGCATCAGTCTCATGCGGTATCTGGACCGCCTGGCTGAGCAAGGTGATCTTGTTATTTATGTCAAGAAATCTACGGGGAACACTTCCTCAAAAAAGCAGTCGGCCAAAAAGAATCAACAGGCCGACAGCTCTGATACAGATGATGCAGTCGTCTACACCATTGCAGGCGGCTTCTCAGGAGGCGGCCCTACTATTAGGGGCAACAAAGCCAATATCAGGCGTTTAGATGTAAATCCCGTTCACGAAGAACGACCCTCCAAATATTCATTTCCTGAGATTGTCATCACTGAAGAAGATCTAGGAGGGGTAAGAGGGCCGCATGACGACCCTATCGTTATTGAATGTAAAGTGGCCAACCAGAGAGTTGGCCGAATCCTCATAGATACCGGAAGCTCCTCAGATCTCATCAGTAGCAAATGTTTGTCGAAACTAAAATATCAGACTGATTGCATACATCCGGCCTCCCATCCTTTAGTAGGGTTTGGAGGAGGAGTCGTCCACCCACTGGGACGAGTGGATTTACCCATCCGCCTGGGCGAAAAAGGGGAAGGACGACACATGGTAGTCCGGTTCCTGGTAGTAGAAGAACTCTCGGCCTACAACATGATTCTGGGACGACCAACCCTGAATAATTCCAAGGCTGTTATAATCCCATCTCTTATGTTGCTCAAGTTTGAGAGGGATAATGGAACAGTCGGCTCCCTAAGGGGAGATCAGAGGATGGCCCGAGAGTGCTATCTCTCGGATGTCAAGCCCACTGTTATGGCCACTAGGTCGACTGGTGGGAAAACAGACCTTGACAAAGTCAAGGAGAGTGCGCCTGTTCAAGAAGCAGGCGGCAAGAAGAGAAAGGCATCCCAGACAGGTGCCGCAAGAAAAGACAAAAAATAGCAATCATTGGCAGAGGAGCGGTCGGATGAATTCCGCCCTCAGCCGGCTGGTGAGCATACGAACTTGATCTTAGACGACTCACGTCCTGAGCGAACAATCAAAGTTGGGACG